CTTCCTTGCTTTTTCTTCCCATTTCTCGCCTTTTTTCTTCTATATACTGAGCGATTCATTTGTCGGTCTTTGATCCGAAACCAACAAGCTACTACCGGAAAATTAGCAAAATTTATTAAGCAGTCGCTTTCTCTAGACTGCTATCTGTCATTTTCTTCACCTTATTTCTAGTGCTATCTGTCGTTTCGTTTTATAAAGGATATCATTTAGTAAATAGAATTTCCGTCTAAAGAGGTGTTTAAACAATCAAAAAGAAAAATTTCAGATATTTTGTTACAGGCTCATGGATACATCAACTTTTTTCGATAAGACATGTAATACTTACATATATTGAATATTTCGAAGTCAAAGCAGTCATTTCTTCCATAAGTATCTTTTATCATTTATGATTATTCATTGTAAAATGTCTTTAATTTTTTTAGGTAAATTTAAAGTGGAGTTTATCAATTATCATTATGACACCGCCGGTGTTCCGCTTATCAAGAAAGACGTTCTTTCAAGTGTCCGAGGAACGGGTCTTTAAAGACAGCTGATTCCTGACGAACAGAGGTGCCACCAGCAGCGCAATGTCACCTAACCCCGACAGGGGTTAACTTCCATAGGACTGGCACCTACGGGTAAGATGAAAGAATGAGCGAAGATAGGCCGACGGCCGCTTTTTATTACCGGCGCCGTCACGCGTCACCGATAAGCGCGGTCTCTCTGTAAACGAAAAGTCTATGCTTGCACCGATTCTCTCGAAACATGAGATTTCTTCTTCTCTTCTTTACTTCTACTTTTGCCAGTTGAAAGAAAGTTCCATTTTTTTATGGACGCGTGCTGAGAATCCTGAAACTTCATCTGCTCCTTTTTTTTTTCAGGAAGAACGATGGAAGCTTAGAAAGGTTTCAGAAGTGCAACGATTAGTTTGTTATCTATCCCCTTATTATTTACTCTGGTTAGAAGAGAGTATTAAATAAGAAGTGAAGGAAAGAAGAATTTGATCTAGTAGTAATTTAAATAGAGATAGTTACTTTGCTTTTATTTTATTTATTGCGAAAATACGTGCACGTCATGAATGACTGCAAAACGTTTTGTGAATTCATGAGGGAAGATGTTGACCGAGAGTCATTAAGGATATGGTATATAATATGTTTACACAACGAGGTTCTTGGCGTCGCCATCAATCATGGTGCACGTCGGTCCATCCGTTTTTCTACACTTAGACACCGACAAACTGAGCCGGTCAAATTCTATGCTACTTCGCTTTGTTGGCATTAGTTCGTCATTTCTAACAGTTCCAACGTCAAACTATATACCAGATTCACTATGTAAATGTCTATTAGAGCAATATTGAGTAGGCATTTTAAGACTATTCTCACAAAGTTTCAGTTTAGAAATAGCAGTTTAAAAAAATAAAATCATGTATGAGTTGTTCGCATGGGAACCGCAGAAAAGGGAATTCATAAGAGGTTATAAAATGGTTGACTTTAAGCTTAAGTACTTGACGTTAGACTTTCGTTTACTTTATAAAGTTCTCATCTTTTTTGAATACGTTGTGTAAGATAAGCGTTTTTGAGTTTCTTAATGCTAGGAAGTTCTCAAAGGAGAAGTTCGAAGGCAAGAAAGTTTCGAAACACAATGGTACATGATACTTGGAGAATAATTTATTAAGGCACTTAGTAGCCAAGTTCTCTCATGGGTTGTCACGGTGCGTTTACTTTCCCGTCTTGGCTCGAGAGCGTTTTAGGCTCGTTTGGCATTTCAGACACCCTGTATAAATAGATGCACTTTGCTCCTACAAAAGGCACTTTCTTTTTCGACCAGCCCGCTACGGACCTACGACACCAACCGATTTGTATCACGCGATTGGATCATCGTGAACACCAGCGGATCTTTGATCTTCTCGCTTGTACTTTTGCAAGATCTTCCAGTAAATCATCATTTATGTAAGCATCTTTGGCAAGTCTTACAAATATTCTATTTTAAATATATATGTCAATAATTATCCAGTACTTTTAAATAAATAGTAAGTACGTTTATAAAAATAATTATTTACTTAGGGATCTTGCATCGCGAGAAGTATAATAAACATATTATTTTAATACATTAATTATATCATTATTCTTAAATTACGATTAACTTTTATATCTTATCTACAAAGGTACATACATCATATATAATTTAAGTAACTCTATGTATTTAAATCTAATTGACATTATCTTTGGTATAACTTTGATAAATGTTTCTTATTATTATTTCTCTATTAAGACACAATTTATTAAGTTTGTTTTCACGTTATTTTGGTATCTATCACGTTACTTTGGCATCAATTAAAACCAAGGTTTTAATTTTCTCTTTTTCATTTTGTAGATACCACCATTTAGCAATTTAGCAGTAAATATTTATCGTATAAAAATTTACTCCGAACTACGATCACAATTTTTCACAATTTTATCGAATCGTTCGCGAAGATTCGTGATAAGATGGAGGTCCAAATTACCGTGGTCCGTACAACGATGGTCCGGTATGAGGATGATGAGGATGTGCAGGATAGTGAACGGAATTCATGTGGGTAGTTGGTTGTCCATGATGTCCAGGATAAGTCCAAGGTCCTGCTGCAGTCGCACCGTAGAATTGATGATGGTCTTGACTCGATATACTTGGAATTTGCACGGTGGGTATGGTGTTTACGTAGTTCGATGACAAAACGCTGGTACTTCCGGTGGCAGGTCTTTTTGCAGGATTTTGCATATTGGAAACTGCAACCGAGTCACACTCGTCCGATTCACAATCACGAAAACCTTTTGCAAACGGATTGCTAGCGATCTTGAGCTGTGTAATGCGATGATTTTGATAAGCGGTGACTGCAGTGAATCGCGTCTCCGGAAAGGTGAACGTTTTGAAATTCTCCGTGCGAGGATCGGGAGCAGAACCTGGTGGTGAAGGTGCCACTACTACGTGGCATCGAGGTTGGTATCGATGCATTGAATTCAAGATTATCTGTAAAATAACAAAATGACTATTGTAAGAAGAATACATTTTGAAGCGAATTTATTTTGGAGGTAACAAATATTTGAAGTTTTTCTATAATCTTGTGGAATAATTATTATTGGTAGACGGTGGTCGTAGGGGGCAAAAGAAACGACGAAGACAGAATGAAAAGAAAAAACACACGTGAGGACCTTCCTTCTCTTAGAGGAAGGACTACCCACAGGGGGGCGGCACAATGTTTGACAGCCACAAGAGACTCGGTGACTAATTAGTGTAAAAACTAACCCCCGATACTCACTGGCAACCCGACACCCTCGTCCTTCTCCGTACACACACTTACCAGCATATGCTAGGGCATGTGTTTCTTTGAATACACAGAAAAAGGAGTACCGGGGCAAAGAGGGAGGAAGAAGATTCATCCTCACAATACGGAATGTGTGTGTGGCCTACCATCGGTAACCAAAATCTCTGGACATGCAATTTTTTCTTCTTTTTCCTGTTCTCTGGTTATTGTTATATTAACGTTATTCACGTTTTTCCAACAGGGGTACGTTTTTAGTTTCGTTTAAAACATTGCAAAATGTAAGAAAACCAAAGTGTTAGAGACTTCTGTGATCTTTTAATTCTGTTTTATAATTCTTCTCTAAAAATATTTGATGATATAAAGCTGCCAATTAAGGAACTCAAATCATTAAGTGTTTTAACGCTGAATTCCAACTTTTTTTTACAAAGCCCAGTGGTTCATCTTTTTGAGCGCAATTAAAGGAACAAACTGCTCCATAGCGCGTGAAAGGAGGGTTACCCTCCACGAGTCAAAATTCTTTCTACGCGGAAAGCAATAAATTGTCGAACGGAACGCGAGCTAAAGAGTCACCGTGTTTTGAAAGCGCGTGGTGTTCGTCAAGAAAATCCACTCGATCAAAGCAATCCTGAATTTACATATCTGTCAGAGTAATTTATGTGTGAAAATTCTATAAGAAGAACTTCCTATAAGAATTATTAAAATCATACCAATAATTTGAATTGCTCTGGTTTGCTGGTTGCTGGATATCAAGCCATGAATAAATCATTAGAGAAATTTGTTGGTGAATGCAACTGATTTATATTTACAATAATCGACAATACGTTGAGTAACAATGTGATCTTGCAGGTTTTGAAATAAGTGTATCAGAATCAAAAGCAACCAAATTGAAATTAATCCTGAGAGGATGAGTTGTGACATTGTGTTTGATGGATGTTTGGTAGGTCGTCTAAACGTTCCACGCACTGTCCTCTAACTGATTAGCCACTGACGAATCAACCGAAGGTAAATTCATTAATCAACGTGCCAATACATCTCAATACTGAATCACTTCATTTGCAATGGTGCCTGACACGTTGAATTTGGCACGGATACATAGGAACGATTATTTTTGGCACAACTGCAGGTGCATTAAGACACAATGAAGAGGAACAAAAGTTGAGAAGAAGAGAAGAGTTTTTCGAAATACAAGATATTAAAGCGTAATAAGCTGCTGGTTAAAACAAATAAACTTTTTATTTTTATGACTGCTCAATGCATATTTCCACTATAACATGTAATTGATGAAGCATATATTTAAAACCAAGATAATGTAACTTTTTAAACTATTCTATACCTTTTTAAAGTATATTTATAATTTTCAGCGTTATCACGATGAAAAATTCTTTTACGCTAGTAATTCTTTTAAAAGTAAACACGTCTAAGTTTCGCCGTCTTTTCCCAGGCTTCCAGGGGTTAGTTTATATTACATATGTTTACGTTACTTTACGTGCGGTATAGTTCCTATTGCCGTTCTTCGTGGCGACAGGAGAACAGGATTAATAAGGCGCGGACAGGAGAAGATCTAAAGAGTACACAAAGTGAGACTTGTGTTCACTAGAAATACGACGAAAGCTAATGATAGAGTTCCAATACTAGCAATCACAATCCCAAAGCAATATTTAAATTTATATGTCACTGAAACAACAAGAAGAGGTTTACTTTTATTTCCGAATTTAATCATTCTTCAATGGCACTAATTAAATATTTCAATTAATTAAATAAAATTTCAGGATCCCAAAAAATGTATTTTTCACGGAGATGATCACAAAGGAAACAAAGTCAGTAACTCGTTTGCTACGCGATGAAACTTCATCTGCCAACGAGATATAAATTCGAACAACGTGTTAAAACAATTATTGCTACTAATTACTCGTAAAACGATAGTAGCATCTAATGGAACCATACTTCATTGTCGTACTTTGTAGTCAGTATACCGTTGAACGACCGACGGTTTTTCATTCAGTCGAACAGTTTTTAAAGTTCAATGAAATTGTTTGAGAAATATATGCGTCTTAAACGAAGCTGAATCTTTTTACGATCAACATTTATTAAGCGAGAGGATAAATTGTCGAAAGAGCAAAGAAAAAACATTAAAAGAGAAATTATCTCCTAAAAATTTACTACGTGTCGGGAGCGTCGTTGTAATTTCTCGCGTAAAACCCATATCTCAGGTCAATTAAGGCGAACTCGTCTGTAAACGACAAACACATGCAACGCGATACTGCCGTGGAGACTTCCTTTGCATCCCTCATTCTATTTTATTACGTAGGTGTTTCTTTCTTATGCCATTTTCAAAATACATTACATCGTTTTAAAATCATTTCAATCTTCTATTTAGGAACTTTCACGAAAAATATGATATGGATTTATTGTTTGAAATCTAAGGAATAACCATGCACTAAGAATAGATGAATTATCGCTTACATGTCCGTTATCGTCTAGTTGATTGTTTGTGAGTTTCAGCTTGTCGAAAGAAACCGGTTGCTTCATCCAGTGAGCTCCGTTCGCAGGACTATCAGGGTGTACGTGAATTCTGGGGGGTGAGACTGGATCTGCTCGACCAGCAACTACCCAGGCGCTACTGTGAAATGCGTATCTGTACCTCTTGTCATCGCAAGGTACGAAATCCATTACTAGTAGATAATCGATAGTAGGATCCAAGCCAAAGAATCGACACTGTAAGTCAAGGATTTAACTCTGTTAGATAAAGCAGTTTTTATCTTCTTTCATTGCGAAAAATCTAATATAAAAATCAATTGATCTGATACCTGAAAAGTAGGAAACATTCTTCTACCAGCTTTGGTAACAATCATTTCCGTTCCCAATTGGTGAAATTCTTCCCAAAGTGGTTTCGCTTCGAGGGCTGCTCCAGCGCCAACGAGTGCAGGGTGAAGAGGCCTCTTCGGGCTAACTTCTTCCGTCGAATTCGTACCATTCTCACTCGGATGATGATCGCTGTGATGATGATTGTTATTGTTGCTGTCGTTACGGGGTTCCACGGTAGTTGACGAAATCGAAGAATTCGTGACTTGTGGAGTTAGCGAACCCTTCGGGTTTGGGCTGCGGGATCGCTTCACCCTTCCCGCAGATTGCAAACATGCTAAAATGATATCGAAGAATATTAAAAGGACAATCTTGGGAATTTTGAACGATGTTCAAAATATGCAATACTTGTAATTAAGTACCTTCCATTTGTTGCATTGGAGATGGTACATTCGTCATGGATTGTGCATGATGACTCTGATGAGAAGCCCATTGCTGATAACAACAATCGGTGGTGATATCATGTCGTTGCTCGTGCTGTTGTTGCATCTTCAGCAATTTTTAAACTGCATCAAGAAGTCAATTTTCTTGAAGTTTTGCGAATTTATTGTTTGTTATTTCATTGGTATTATTGAATTTTAACACTTAATTTTGTTCTTTTATAGTTCAAGAGAAGTTTTGTTTTAATTACATAATAATATAAAATTTATATTCTTCTGTGATTTTTTATTTTAAAAGAAAAAGTCACATAAAACTTTTGATGAACCGATTACATAATTTAATCACAATCACCCAATGTTTCCATAATAAACAACAAAACTCTCACAGCACGTTCAAGCACTCCTGAAATATTTTTTTGTTTACAGTATTCCTGCT